TGCCCTGACCCAGGTGCAGGATCTTGCACTTGGCACTGATTAATCTCATGAGGTTCACATGGTCCCACTTCTTCAGCTTGTTCACATCCCTCTGAATACATCCTATCCCTCAGGCATTTCAACCCCACTACTCAGCTTGGTGTCATTTGCAAAGCTGCTGACAGTACACTCAATCCCACTGTCTCTGCCCTTGATGAAGACACTAAACAGAACTGGCCAGGACTGAGCAGAGACTGCAGACCTACAGCAGAGCGAGGCTGTCAGGTTAAAAATATCATGTTCTCACTCTCTTTTGCCTTGCACTTTTAGTTGTTTATATTCATGCAATGAATATGCAAAAGCAAACAAATCAAAGACTCCATCATGAGTTTGCCTTTTTTTCCCCCCTCTCTGAGTCCGAACAGCCAGCCTGGCCCTGGACTTCAGTTCACTCTCCAGTCAAAAGAGGCAATGTTTCTCTTAGTCTGTGGAAGAGGTGCATTTTTTACAAAGCCTGCATGACTGAATCAAATGTAAACCAAACAGCAGCTGCAGAGTGCGCTAGGGAGGAGAGAAGGAATTGCTCAGTAGGCATGTTGCAGAAGGGGACAGGCAGTGCCAAACAGTTTTGATTAATGCTATTATGTGGTGATCTCTGTATGTACATGAAATTAAAAAGTTAACCATTTAGAGTGTATTTATCAATTGATCACCCTTAGCTGCGGTGTGGAGCAAAGTTAATAACCACAAAAGCTCCCAGTCTTGTAGTAATACTTGATCTTAGACATTTTGTTGCCTGAAACTGCTGGGAATGACTTATCACCTCTCATGGGCATGCCTTTGCACACACTCCTGTTGCAGAACAGGAGCAGTTGTCACATACATGCTCTGTTTTTATATAGTATATTTCAGTAATAGCATGGTTTTTTAAAGTTTATTTTATTTCATGGATCACTTAACAGTTTTTATGAGATGCTCGCAGGCTACTGAAGTTAATGCAAAGTGGGTTATTTCATTAGGAGGATGGAGGTATGCAGAGGTTTGAAGGCAGTGCAAGAGGCATTAGTAGAGGAAAAGCCAGTGCAACCATTAAAGGACTAATGAGACTAATTAATGAGGTTAGCAGCTGCATTTTGTGTGTTCTAAAGGGGCTGGTATTTCGTGATCATGAGAGTTAAATCAGGGAGCAGGAAGAGAAAGCAGTATTCAAAATGGATAAAAGGAAGGCCTGATACCCATTGCTTTCAGTTGATGGTTCCTTTGTGTCTAGAGGTGTCACACAAAGCAGGGCATGAGGAGGGGAAGCCCTGGGCACAGAACAAAGAAAGCAGCAGCTGGGTCTGGAAAAACATGGTGTCCTGTAAAAGGAGCCAGAGGTGAGCAGCTGGCTGAAAAGTCCTGTAAAGAAGCTCTCAGTGCAACCATGGGGACAGGCACACACTTTAGGGGATCCTCAGTATGTGGGTAATATGGATAATATGTTTTGACATGTTATCACCACTTGAGCTCAGAGTACACCACAAAGTTCACTTGAGCCTTGCCTGCCCTGCAAGGTGGTGTGTGTGTGGGGAGCACTGGTCACTGCAGTGAGAACAGACAAGGGAACTGGGAGTAGATTTTCCTATGAGAGGTAAGTGCAAGGTGCAGGACTCGTGGTGACTGCACGTGCAGGGTGATGTGGGAAGTGTAGGTGTGGTGTAGGTATGTGTCTTCAGGTGGTTAAAGCTTTGATGAGGTTGTTCTGAGAGTGTATGAGGGGTAAAGCAGTTTAACAGTTCTTCTGCTGATCCCTGACCCTTTTACAGTTTACTGCCTGGAGTTCATCTGACATGGTTGTAGTGCTGCCTCTTCTCTTTTAGGGACGGGGCTCTGTTCGGAGGTTTCGAAGTGTTTTGAGCCCTCAAATCAGAGCAGCAGGGACAGAGTTGTTGCAATATAAATGGTACATACCACCAGAATCATTACAAATTGAACCACTGCTGGCAACACTGCACAGTGCTTTCTTCCTTGTGTGCAGTGATCAATATGAATTGGCCACAGCATGGGAATGCACATGGGAATATAGATGTAGCTGGGGAGAGATACAGTAGATGGAAAGCTGAGGTGAACAAAGGTCACTAGATCCAGGCTGTGTTTTTGGGTTCAGTCATTAGCAAAGAGTTTTGTGAAAGCTGTAATTCACCTGCCCCTTGAGTCACCATTGTGGACATAATGGCCCAGTGCCACAATGCTTCTGATGTTTGTTCTTCTTAGTTCACGTATTACTTTATCGTAATGGCTTAAATGTTGATAGGGGTCCCAGCATGTCCCTGCCCCTTTCATCCACTTTCCACCAGGGATGAACAAAAGTAGACTGCATCAGCTCTTCTCTTTTTATTACTGCTTTTCCCCAGATTCCCTGCAGGGTTTTATCCATCATATAAGAATGTTATCCAGGCCTGCCGGTGTAGTGTTGCTATCTCAAGGATTTCCCATTTAGGGGAGTAACTGGGTTTCCTAGTGTGGAAGATTTCATAAAATAACAGTTCTGAAGGTGTTTAATGTCTGTATCCCAAATGACACTGTTTCTAATTAGCTGGTGATACTGGTGTGACAAAAAACAGCAGCAATGACTTGAGAGCTAAATTTTACACTAACATGCATTTGAAAAGTTTTCATTTCAATGAGTGGTGCTAAGGGACAGTGGTGAAAAGAGGCTGGGGTAGAATTACCCTTTATTGTAAGGGTTGTGTGGGACCTCAGCCATCCCCTTGTCTTTTTTCTGTATCTGCCTGAAATATACCCATTGTGATGTTTATTATTTTTTATTTAAAAGCAGCACTTAGAAACTCTGCCTCCCACCTCAGACCTTAGCTTTATAAATTATTCCACCCATGTTTAGGACTGCATTCTCTTGGGAATTTATGATTTCTTGGCTTAAGGAAAGGTGAAATCAAGTGATTTCTACCCCTTTTCTTATCCCGATAGCAGTGAGCTGCTTTTGAGCCTTCAGGTGCCTAGTTTACAGTAAATATGCCAAATTGGCCTCTGTTACATGCTTGCAATACCATGGGCACCCCTATTAAATATCAATTATCTGACTTGACTGTATTTCAACACAATGAGTTTACAGAGCTGTACCCAGGTTTTCTTTTTACCATTTAATATGGAGCTTTGAACATAGGTATTTCTGTATATAGACGGGGACATAGAAAATATTTGAATTGCCTTTGGGTTTCCATTGCTAAACTGGTCTAGTTCCTATAAAGATCAGGATGACTGGAGGCAGAACTATTTAATGCAATAGGAGAAATAAGTGATGTCTTGGCAACGCAGGCTGAGTGGCCTGGGACCATCTTTTATGTCCTAGGAAAGGACTCCTTTCTGGGGACAGTTTTATACCATGCAGGAGAGTGAGCTCCATTGTGGCTATGAAGTATCTCTGTTCTTAGAAGTAGGGAGATTAAAAAGTGGAAAAGCTTTAAGTCATCCAAAGTTGTTGAAACAGATGGTGCAGGAGTTATTACTTGTGTGTTTAGTGCTCAAGTTATTTCTCTCTAAAGCTTGCACCAGGTATACCCAGTATATTTATAGCTTGTGGAGGAAACGAAGGGAAATAATTAGACTCCAGCTTTGCAGTTTGTAAATTAACAGAATTAGAGGGTGGTTTGTGAGGATGACCTGCTCAGCCTACATGCAAAACCAGCTCATTTTGCTTTTACTAAATTGTTCTTTAAATAATTGGTGCCTACATCTCTTGATTTGCGCTGAGACTGGCAAGATGCTTAATGCAAGAAAACTGTTTTCATCTTGATTAATTCTCTGCTGGGGCAAGCCTTTTAAGAAATATTAGCCAGCCATCTTCTCGTTTAGCTCTGTGAGCTTACAGTCAAAATCGTAAGGCTGGCAGAGGATGGAGAGAAGGAAAGCAGAGACAGGCTGGCCTGTTGCACAGGTAAGGATCACACACAGAGGTCAAGTGCACAGGGAATTTAGGGCAAAGATGGTAAATGGATCTTGTTTTCCTGAGTGTTTATACTGTCATTACTGCAGGTTCAGTCAGATTTTTCCTTTCTGAAAAAGCTGTGTGCGGCAGATTTTCAACTCTTTGCTGCCTATGGGAGTAGCTGGATTTTAGGGAAGTGCTCCCCAATTTACAGAGTACATCAGTGGGTTATCTGAGAGGGGGATATAGGCAGCTAGAGAAGAAAATGAACTGGCCGTACATTTTGCTAAGTGACGATTCCGCGGGACGGTGTTAGGAATATCCTGGTGATAGATCTGCAGCAGGACAAGGAAGCCTTCCGGCAAGGAAAGCGTGGCCTCTCCTGAACCCCACACCCCCAGAGCATCCCGAACGCTTACGCGTAGGACATTTTTACAGCAGTTACTTATTCCCGTTTCTTTCGGCAGCGCTGCCCGTGTACCCGGCAGCCCTTTTAAAGCCAACTCGGGCTCCATCTCCGCGCGGTTGCTCCGTGCTGAGAGTTTCGGATCGGGGGAGGGACACGGCCGGGGGCGCCGTCCCCGCCTGCGCCGAGGCAGCGCCGGCCGCATCCCAGGGCCGAGGGGCGGTTTCTTATCGCAAAGGTGGAAATGGGGGGAGCTGGAGGGGCTGCGGCGGGCGGGGGAGGGTGCGCGGGGCCGGGCCGGGGCGCGGCGCTGCGGCGGGCGGGGAGCGCGATTGGCGCGGGGCTGTGGGGGAGTGGCGGCCGCGCTGTGAATGGAGCTGCGCGGCTCGCTGGCCACAGGCTTCCTCCGCGGGAAGGTGGCACGGGCATCCTCAAAGTGAGCCGAGCGTCGCGTCTCGTCTCGGGGCAGAGCGATGTGGCGAAGAGGAAAGGGCCACGGGGGCTGCTGGCCTTTGGGATAACTGCTGCCCTTGCCCGCGAGTCTTGTGCAGCGGCAGTCTGTTCTCTGTGTGTGGCATATGGAGCTGGGGTTTTATATGGCATTTGCAACCCAAGAGAGGTCACACTTCCTTTTTTTTAAAATTCTTTGCTTTGGGTACAGTATATCTCTCTCTCTTTTTTTTCTTATCTGGTAGTGGGGTGGGCCGGGAGGGACGACTGAGACACCAGAGGGAATGTTTACTTGTGCAGAAGTCTTTCTCATGTGGAGGCACGCTGCTCCCTAACTCCTGGCTAAGCAGACTTCAGTTCACCAACTTTGCTGCTGCACAACACGTGTAACTCCTTGACAGGATGGCAGACAAAAGAACAGCTGGTGCAAAGCAATAGGGGATTCATAGCAAGGAGGAGGAAAGAAAATCACAAACCTTTCACCCACACTGTTGACATCCAGCGATTGTCAGAGCAGCCGTTGAGACGGGACAAGCTGAAGCCACCATGCGCAGGTCTAGCACCGATGAGTCGACCTATCATAGGAGCCCGTCCCTGGACAGCAAGGATTACAGTTTCCCAAATGGCACCTTTCGTCGCTACAGCAGCATGTATGGTGGCCAGTTTGGGGCTGCCAGCAACTCTTTCTTTGGATTCCACGCCAACCCAGGCCCTAAGGCCACCAAGGCTAAGTACACGACCCCCAAGGGAAACAAGTACGTTGTCTTTTACCTGGATCTCTCATTTATTTTTCTCCTAGAACTGAAGAGGTGCAGCATGGCTCACAACTGCCTGCAGTGTATCAAGTACCTAATGTTTGTCTTCAACCTTCTCTTTTGGGTGAGTACATGTTTGAAGCTGTGAGGCAATTGCATTTGTGTCTGCTTACTAACATGGAAGGTAAACTTGTTTCTGCTTTTGAACTTGGATGTTCAAACTTGGAAGTTGAACAAAGCAGTGCCTAGGCTGCACTTTCTGTGGCCTTGTAAATTGCGTGGACAATGTCCTGAGTGTTTCCTTCACCTTTTCCTGGCCTTCAACTGTATTTTAAAACTGTGATACAAGGTAAAAGAATGTGTTTTAGAGACCAGTTACATTAATACTTTATCACTTTCCTCCAACGACAGCCTTACACTCCTTTTGTTGTGCTGATCTTTCATTTTTGCATGTGGTTGCCTCAAAAGTCAGTCATAGTCTTAGAGAAATCACTGAGACCATCCATGGTTTCAAGGTTGAGCACGTGCTTACGTCCATTGCTCATCACTGTGAGGCTTGTGTGTGTGTCAGCAGGACACCATGATGGGACATACAGGTGTGCATCTCCACATCACCTTTTTAATAAATGAGGTAGCTGTTGACAGCAGGGTGGTTGGACATTTTACTGCCGTGAAACAGAGCACTGGCTGTAGACAGAGACTAAAGAAGCTCAGTGGGTGTTTTATGTATAAATGCTGCTTGTCCTGTAAAAAAGGGAGTAGTATGATTGCTGGGGGGAGGGTGGCGGGGAGGGTGGAGGAAGTGATTTCTAACTTAAAGGCTCCCATCCAGATTTCTATGTGAGAGCTCTGTTGCGAGGTCCTCGGAGGTGCCTTTAAATGCCTCATTCTTCTGGAATGGTTTAATAGCATGCTGAGGGAAACAAGGAGTATTGGGAAGAATATGGTTTCTGGCCTGGTGCTTAAGGAGAGGAGGGTTGTTTGCAGTTGAATGTTGCCATTTCTGTGTTAGTGATCATGCTGTCATGAATTGTTTGAGGTACGTGGAGGGCTGAGTGAGATGGAAAGAGCTGTTCTCTAGTGTGCGCTGCTGTACAGCTGTTTAAAACCAGGCATGCTGCAGTGCTGGTGCACCAGAAAGCACAAAGTGCAGGCAACTTCTGCTGACCTGAGTCATACCGAGGAGTCAGGATGTGATAAACTAGTGCGTAAACTGGCATGGTACTAACAAGACCTATGAAGCACAAGGAAGGTGTTGTGTTTATACCCTTAGCTGGTAGAAAGAGTGTTGGTAAGGCTGCAGTTCTGTCTTTCAACTCTGACTCTGGTTGCTTCTGCATTCCTAAATATTGTCTGATATTTGTTAGAGCTTGCTCCAGACCTTTCTGAAAAAGACAAACACTATCTTTCGTGCTCACTTAAGCCTTGTGCCTCTGCTGGCTGTCCCTAGTTGAAATTACAAACACTGACAGCTAGTTGAAGTGTGTGCTAGAGAAATGCAATAGGATGCTTTTCAGGGCTATGCGTGACACTGTCACAAAGGATACTCATTGCATTCTGATTCCTTTTACAATATTAATCTTCCACTGAAGTTTATGCATATGATAAGAAGAAGTACTGCTTCAAGTAATGTGTGTATTTACAAAGGCAAGATGCCACATAGTAATAATTTTTGGCATGCTTTTCAGTTGGAAAGTCTTAATCCTTTGAGAAAGAAGGAAAGGTCTTTATCTTTCCCCTGACTCCATTAGCGCTATTCTGAAATGCTTGGAGGGAGAGAAAAGAAGGGGTCCCAAAAAAGAGAAAATAACATATGCTAACTGGACTCTTCCTGAGCTGAAGCATCCAGGCAGGGGAGCGGGTGTTGTCAAATACTGCAGCACAATTTCTGTTTTGTTTCCCTTTCACATGCTACCTGCACAGCAGGAGTGATTGATGATGATCATGTCCAAATGAGGTTTGCACAGCATGTAGTTATAATAGTTGCAGCTCTTCACTGTCCCAGAGTGAAGAAAGTAACTAAAAAGAGATGATTTTTTAAAAGTACTGGCTTAAGCTGACCATCTTTAATAAAGGCAGAAAAAATCCATTTCTAATGATTAAAAATCTTAGGATGATTACAGGTTGATGGTGCTGCTGGTATTTTGTTTTTTCAAGTTGTCAGTTATCTGTCATGTTTTACTTTGTGAAATTAAAGGAGAGGAGTATCTGTAAGAAGATGGGATTTCTCTTTGCGTACATGTTCGCAAGTTTTGCTGTCTCCACCTTCCCCTCCACCCCTTTTCTACATAGTTGATTAGTGACAGACAATAGTCTGGGAAAAGAATTGCTTCTTTCATACTTTGACCTCCACATAATAACTGCAGTTATTTTCATGTATCTGGAGCAGTCATTGCACTAAATGAATGAAATACCTATTATAAGTTGTTCCTGCTTTTTACTCTATTTTAAGCAAATGCTTTGATTTCCTTCAGATATCATATTTTCATTTTCTTCTTCCTGTTTCTATTCATTAACTTCAGTCCATATGAGTATCCTTACAGCCTGTTTCCCAGTACTTTCAGCTATCTTTCCCATAGAGTGGCAGAAAAAGTCTTCAGCTTTGTGCAGCTCTGGTGGGATTGGTGCTGCATTTCTGAGGAAAAGATCTTTTTCTTGTAAGTCTAGTGAATTTATAAGAAATAAAATCTCAGAGGTTTTGGTTTTAAATGTTCCTGGAAAGCTTTATTGGATTAGATGCTGCACTCATGCTGTAAAATCTTTAAAAGCTGTCATATAACTGTGAAAACAGAGCAAATTTCTCCTCCCCTTTCTGATGTTTGAAGGGAACAGAAAGCTCCTTCACTATTGACAGAGGCTGAGGTGCCTTGTCAGAGTTGATGCTGAATCAGTCCATTGATACAGTAGACCAGGAGCTATTAATGTAGAAAAAACCATCTGATCGTCCTAGAATAACTCTTTTCTCCATGAAGGGTCCTGCACAAATTGCTCTTGGTGCATTTGCAGCTACTGTGGCGTATTAATGTACTGAAATGTGGACAAAACATTATCAGACAGTAGTGCTGCCATTCTAATGGAAATTGCCATTCAGGGGACATTTCCTGGAATACTGCCAGATGCAGAGGAGCCATCACTGTATCACTGCACTTGTTTGTAACTCCCAAAATAACTTTTGTCACCTGATACATACTACTTGCCTGACTTCATTCATTTTTATGGACTTTGATTTTCCTTTGTTGAATTGCTGAACTCTTGAGACTAAAGATTACCTCAGGTGATTGAAAAGCATAGTATTTTCATTTCATAATGAAATATCTGTATTTCACTGTGAAATACCCAGGGAAGAACATTTGTTTTCTGCATTCTGCCCTCCAAACACCCAGAGTTTCCTTCTGTCGGTCAGTAAAGTGAACTATTCTCTTTCTGTGCTTGTAATCTTGTAATCCAAGGCTCTGCTTTCCTTGCTGGGAGAGTGCCATAGAAAGAAAAAAGGCATTTCCTTAATTCCCCTTGGTTTATGCCAGCATTCCCACTTTCTCTGACTTCTAACTCCCAAACCTCCAAGACTCATAAGAGGAAATGCGCAGAACTGTACTTGTGTTTCCAGTGTTTCTTGCTTTCCCTCAGAGATTCTACATTGATAGAGATTTGCTCATCAAAGAACTGGATACCTGTATCTGACTCTTTGGGTAGTGCTTTCACCAGTAAATAAATTCAGTAAAGCACAGCATTTGCAAAATGCTGTTGTTAGAAGGCTAGTTATAGAGAAAAGGAAGCAACAAAAAGAGACAAAGAGGTTTATTATTTGTCAAACTTATTAATAATTTCTATGCATATGTCTCCCTTGTTAAAAGATACTAAATTAGTATGCTTCATGTAGAATTGAGAGTCTTCAAAACTGTGTGTGAAGACCCTAATTCCAGTGGATAGGCTCCCAAAGACCCAAGGGGAATATTCTCTTAGAGCTTGACAACCTGGGAGTTGCCGCCTACCAGACACATTAGAGCTGGGATGAGCAGCTGGAGCTCTGCTTTCTACCTTCCTGCCCAAAGACAAAGGCAAGCCACTTTGTTTTCTGTCACCAATTGGTTCTTGTAAAGTTCCCAACTGATACAGCCCTGAGAATGATGTATTTTGGATCTGAGACACAAACTGCAAATCTAAATGTATGGAAACACAGAGCCAAAGAAGTGGCAGGTAGTACTAGCAAATGCACTAAGATCTGCATGGAAAAAACCAAGAACCTATTTAATCCAATTCCAGGACCAGCTGTGCATTGCTTGCTCTGTTTTGCTGCTGTTGATAGTTCGTGGGCCACAGTTTGGGAATCTCTCCTTGAATGAGTACTGCTGGTCTGGTGTACTAGTAATACTGCCAGCAGTCAATCTTCATTATTTGGATGTAATTAGAAAGAAGGAGGGGAAATAATGAAAATGATAAATGCCTCATTACTGCATAATTTCCCTTCCTGGCACTTCAAATTCAGAGGCACAGGTATGTCTTGTAAGAACTATGCAAATGTTCAAAATATCTGGAAAACTAAGTGTGCAGGGCAGCTAGAAAAAGGGACAGCTTGATGTCAAATGCACCATGGGGCATTGGATGGTCTTTGAGTGATCCTGTCCAAATTTGGTCGGAGAGTGGAGGCAGAGGGGTGCCTCTTCATTTCTTTCTATGTCAATCAGCTGATGTTATTAGCTTGAGGAGAGCTGTAACTGAGCTTACCCCCAAAGCTGGGGAATTTTGTGAAAGAAATATCTGATTTTGTTGGATTTGATTCCTTGTCGTTCATCTGCATCCTCCATCAGTCAGCTGAATGAGATTGATGGCTAAAACAGCGGGAAGCGGTAGGCTGTTAGTGGCTGAGGACAGCAGTCATTTTATAGTTATACTTGGCTGCAGTCTTAAGTTGGTGGGGAAAAAAAAATACCAGTAGAGCAGTAAGCCATTTTAAAGGCAGGCCCACCGTCTCATTATTATTTGTGCGTGTTCTCCTCTGATGGGCAAGGGCTGCCACACGTCCTATGGAGCTGAGCTTGGGAGTTGGAGCTGCTGCCTACTCTTCTGCAGGGAAGACAGTCACATGTCTACCAGTTGGGTGGCGCTCCTAGAAGATAGTTTGAT